TCAGGGCCTTTGTACTTGCTATTCCTCTCCATGGAGAATTTCTTAACATGTGCTCTTTCCTTCTCTCACGTCCTTCTGTACCTGCTGACATGTTATCTCCTCAGAGAGACCTTTCCTGACCCTCCATCTCACATTGCCTTCTGGACACGCTTCATCCTTTATCCTTTTCCATTCAGTCTTCTTCCGAGCACTAGTTACAACTTATATTACATGTTTTTTTAAACCTCCCGTTTCAGCTTGTTTGTCTCCTCCACTAGAATGCAGCTTCCTGAGAAGAGAGACACAGCTGCATCCCAACATACTGCTTAATGACTAGCTCAGAACATTTTTGAATGAATGAATGAATTTAGAGGATGGGTGGTACAGAAGTTGAATATGCAGTTATAACACAAAGTGGTAAAATAATCTCGTAGATGTCACCTAATTATGGTACAATGATACTTAACATCAACATACCGATGGAATTTAATATGAAAAAGCATTAAATGTCAAATATTTTAGATCATTTGAGGGTAACCAAAGGAAAAATACCCACCCACCCACACACACCCACACACACACACAAAACAACCCACCCAGAATTTATTGTAGTTGACTATAAATTATCTGGCCAAGTAAAGAAGGCACTGATCAAAAAATCAGCACAGAAGCAAAATATATCTGAAATGAGAGGTTTTAACTACCTGAATACCTTTGTAACCATTGACCAGCCGGCCTAGAAACGAAGCATGAGAAAATGCTAAATTTGACATGCTGTAAATTTCACCCCAGAGAGCCTGAGGAAGAAGTTAGGATAACCACCACTCCATACCGGATTTTGACAGAAAAGAGGAGCTGGTTAGTGAATTGGAAGAGACAGGAAAGCAGTGATGTCATCTAACCACTCAAGACAGTGAGAAAGGAGAAAGCTAAGCACGCTCCAAACATAACCGGCAGATGGACTTTCGGAATGAGTAATGATAACGATAATAATACCTATCACTCACTGAGTGTCCATTCCGAGGCTAGCACTGTACAAATCAGTGAACACTCACGACGTCCATAAACTGTGAACCCCACCACCACAGTGCACCCCTATCTTTTAAAAATCAAAGCAACACCTTTAAGAAGAGAAACTTTCGGGCGCCTGGGTGGCTCAGTCGGTTAAGCGACTGCCTTCGGCTCAGGTCATGATCCTGGAGTCCTGGGATCAAGTCCCGCATTGGGCTCCCTGCTCGGCAGGGAGTCTGCTTCTCCCTCTGACCCTCTTCCCTCTCGTGCTATCTCTCATTCTCTCTCTCTCAAATAAATAAATAAAATCTTTAAAAAAGAAGAGAAACTTTCATAATGCATTCAGGTAAGCAAATTTACATTAGAAATAAACTTAGAAATCAGCCTGTAAAAACCATTTTTGTACAGAAAGGCAGCTGGGGAATACCTTGCTACTACTTACTGAAGGGGGTAGCCACAGTACACAGCTGGGGGGGCACAGCATCCCTTGGAGCTGGGCTGTGCAAGACGTCTATGACTACATGCCTTGGCCCCAACCTGGTCATACTTTTTTTTTTTTTTTTACCTTGCTTCTAGTCACTTCTCTTTCCCAGCCACCCCATCCAGACGTTTCTGTAACATCTCCTGATTTCTTGACCTCTTGGAGGTCTTCAGTCTCAGCGCATAATTCAATTTCTACCTCACAAGTGAAGAGAGAAAGCCAGCAGGCAACCATATTCTCTGTCTCCCGACTTGTTCCTTCCTCACCCATACCATTTTCTCTCCCGCTGGCCTTCGGGCTTTCCTTCTACCTAAAGCTGATTAGTCTACCATGTTTCCATGCCGAATTTCCCAGGGATCATGCCCCATCAATTATTTACTCTGCCTCTTTTATTCCTGACTTCTCCTTTGCCGCCGGTTTCTTCCATTTTATCTATAAACACTTGAGTCTCTGTGATGGTCGAAAGCCTCTCCTTGCCCCTGGGATCCTCTCACTCCTACTGCTGAACATTTTCTCCTCACTCAAGCTACCTGACCGGGTCTGCGTGAATGTGTTCCCTTCCTCCACCCTGATCCCTCTCAGTTCACTGTAACAGGAGCGTCCTTGTCCCCAGCCACTCTACGCCACTGCTGTGGACAGACAGCACTAGTTACCTCCCAACTGTCAAACCCAGCAGACAGACTTTTCCTTCTCCCCTCAAATTCCAGTAATGGCATCCTTCTTGGTTTTTGTCTGAGTCCGTTCTGGCTGCTATAACAGAACACCAACACCAGGTGACTTGCAAATAACTGACTTTTCACAGTTCTGGCGTCTAAGAAATCTAAGCTCAAGACACCTGCAGATTTAAGCCACTAGCAGATTTGATGTCTGGTGAGGGCTCATTTCCTGGCTCATAAGAACAGCCATCTATGTCTTCACATTGGAGAAGGGGCAAGAGAGCCTCCTGACATCTCTTTTATAAGGGCACTAATCCCACTCATGAGGGCTCCACCCTCATGGCCTAATTACCTCCCAAAGCTCCACCTCCAAACATCATCACAATGGAAAAGTTTCAACATATGAATTTGGGGGTGGTGGGACACAAACAGTCAGTTTAAAGTAGTTTTTCTACTTACTTTTTTAGCCATACTTCTCAAACATCTCTATGCCTTTTCTTTTGATGATTCCTTAAATGCAGGCATTATCCGCAGCTGTGTTAACATCGCTCTATTAGCTTTCCCTTTGTAATTTAGCCCATTTTTATATGATCTTACCACTGCCCACATACTGATAATTCCGGAGCAGTATCTCTAAACCATATCTCTCAGCTGACCTCCAGAGAAACATACACACAGCAGCTAACTCTACCTGGGTATCACATAAGATGTTCTCTAAAATGATCAACTGTCTTCTCACACAGATGAATCCATTGTCTTCCATACATACACTCTATCTCAGGTGGGGCATCACTGTCTATCTAGTCACATAAACCTGAAGGCTGAAAACCACCCTAAATTTCTCTCCCTACCCATTACTTCCTTCTTCAGATACCAACTCTTAAATATTCCATTTAATCCCATCGTCTCAACCTCCACTGCCTGTGCCATTGCCTCTGTCTTGATTCAGGTCTTCATCTGACCCTTATCATGTCAGTTTAGGTGGGACTTCTGCCTTCAGTCTCACTCCCTCCAATACTATCTTCACAGCAATGCCCAAGTGAATAAACGTAATAACAACACACACCACATTTAAGCAAGTATTTCACTTTGGAGTATCTGTACATAATGAAGTTTAAACTACTTATCCTTAGCATATGAGACTTCCCCCTGCCAAACTCTCCAACCTCATTCCTGGCATCTTCCCACAGCCCTAATAGTTTTCCAAGCTAAACATCTCTCTCCTCCTTTGACCTCATTACTCCTTTGCTTGGAATGCCCTTCCTTTCGACCCCTTATGTCCCCAGTAAGCTCCTATTTGTCCTTTAATACCTGGGTCAGAAGTTACTGCCTTGTGACCTGTATCCATAAAGCAACTCACTGTGCATCCTCTATCCTTTACAAATAGTTTTTATTTTACCCTTACCACATGTTTTATAATAGAGTTATTTAAATGTATGGCTCTTCTAGTAGATTATGACATTATTATGGGCATACACTACATGTTTATCAACTCTGTGTCTATCCTAGAAAAGTAAAGGCTCAATAACTATTTCTCGACTAAATAGAAGAATGAATATTCTACTTAGTCTTCTAGATAGTCCCTGAGGTTGACTATCCATGCTTAAGGAAAGTTTTTTCATAGTTATTACCTATGCCATATCTCTCTGAACAATGGGAATTCTGTGCAAGGTCTTGTGCTGTAGGCAGTGTTTTCTAAAATCCTTTGATTACAAACCAAGGTTAGAAATATATTTGACATCATAAACCATTACAAATATACATATGTACAAGTAAACAAAAATTTTATAGCTACTTCCCCTTATTTTGTATGATAAACTCTGTCATTTTCTTTCTTATTTCAGTCTTTGCATTAAATTACAAAAAGACTGGATTGATAAACAAAAATTGCTTTCATGCCTCATAGATTGTGAAAAATATTGCTGTATAAATAGTATTATAAAAAAAAATCTTACCTTAGGAAATTAAATTACTGAATTAGTTAAGCATTTCTCTTAACATTTAACTATAAATGTTATTGGAAAACATTTATCATTTGTCCAAATGATAGGAATATCCATGCAAATAAGTGGAAAAAATATGAAATATTTAAAAAGCAATAACATGCTACTTCTTTTAAGTTCACACACTGCTAGAAACTATAAAAAATATGTGAAGATCCTGGCTGTAAGGAGCATATGTAAAAGCATTTTGCTTACAAGCTATGAACTTAAATTCATAAAAGAATATTATGTTAATGCTAATCATATCCCTTTGAACTATGTTTAACATTTTACCTCATCCAGATCTAAGTATCAGAAATCTAAATTTAGGAGAGTTCAAATTTAGTAAGTTTTTCCTCCTTTCACATTTAAAACTGAGATATTCTCACCTACATATCTCTGCTACTCTTCAAAGGTCCTAAGAGCATGAAATCCATCTTCTCTGACTCATCCAAAAACACCTCAAAGAGGAGTTGAGATTGGGTAAGAGCTCTTCAGTAGAACCACCATTTACCAAGGGTCTCTGCATGTCAGGCAACGTGCCAGATAATTCATGTCATTCATAATCCTCACAACAATCCCAAAGGTCAGTGTTATCCTCTGTTTACAAAGGATGAACTAAGAAATGTGATTCAGAACACAGTTAAGTATAGTAATTAGAGGCACCTGGGTGGCTCAGTTGGTTATTTTGATTCAGGTCATCATCTCGGGGTCCTGAGATCAAGCGCCACCTGGAGTCCTGGGATGGGCTCTGCACTCAGCGGGGAGTCTTCCCTCCCCTCCCTCTATCTCTCCTCCAGTGTGTGCATGCGCACTCTCTCTCTCTCTCTCTCTCTCTCTCTCTCTCTCTCAAATAAATAAATAAATAACCCCCCACAAGGCTAAGTAATTGGTGCAGAGCATACAGCTAGTAGGTAGTAGGGCGAAGGCGTGAAGCAGATTTCTCCCAAAGATAGGCTATTCCCACTGGACTCTGCAATTAAATAAATACAGTAAATAGTCAAAAACTGATAAGGGTGTTAGATTTTAGAATTTCAGAGTTTTTCTTTTCTGGCCAACAATTTCTCAATTCCTCAATTCTTCTTTAGAGCACGCAATTAAATTCTGGCTCAATTTCCTTTACACTGTAAAAATATTATTGTACTATTAAATAATTTAAAATGAATTTAAAAAATAGGAGCATTATTCAAAGGCGCCATGAGTGAGAGTTTACTGGCATGCTATAGTGTATGATCAAAGAATTCAGAAGGATGCCTTTTATCTGAGAATATCAAAGGCCACTAACTAAAAAAAGACAGAGAGTTCCTATTACACTGGGGAGAAAAAGCTGAGTCCATTGAAATATAATACAAGAATGTTGGCATACAGGTAATTCACAGATATTATTACCTTGGCTACTTGAAGCTGGACCAATCGGGATTCTTTCCAAGAGCTATTCTTTTAAAACTGTAATACACTCACTCAGTTCATTTGTTACAATTTGTTACAACTGCCCCCTTTTCCTCTTGATACTCTCCTACACTTCATCCACACACTATATAAGCACATACATGCGCGCGCGCGCACACCCACACACACACAGATTTACAGATTCAGATCACAGATCCATATATTGTGCTATTTTTCCAGTGTGGCTAATAACAGCATGTACCATAAAATAGCTAGTATTTCTCATTTTAAAAACTACAAGATTAAAAGTAACTGAATTATCTTTCCAAGTTGTCACAGGTCTTTAGTCCTTATGAAGGCAGACGGACATTTTCAAAATCTAGTCAGTAAAGTAACTTGGTGTCTTCTACTAAGCTCCATGTTTCTGCCTGAAATAGACACAATCAGGTAATTTCAGTGATTCTGGGTATATTGCAGGCAATAAAACCCCCTTCCTAAGATGTTTACCTTAACTCCGTCATCCAAGATATAAACAAAAGAACAACATTTTCCCCTAGGATACAACAAAAGCAGCATTACTATTGGAATACACAGAGTTAAATCTTATTATGATACCAAAAACATGGGTCATACAGAATTTTTAGAACACAGCTGGAAAAAAATAAGCTGCCTTTGAGGCTAGATATGAAATAGAAATAAGGGCTGAGAAAGATGAATATGATTTATGAATTATTGGACTTCTTAAATTAAATGCAAAGTTTTTAATAACCTTATCATGGTATGTATTGCCATTTACAATTTGTCTTATTCAGCATGGGTTTCCTAATAGACTGGGTGGCTCAAACAACAGAGATTTATTTTTCACAGCTCTGGAGGCTGAAAGTCCAAGATCCAGGTACCAGCTAACTTGGTACCTCTCATTTCTTCTTAGAAGGCCACTAATCTCATCAAAAGGGCCCCACCTTCATGACCTCTCACTCTGCTTACCTCTCAAAGGTATCATCTCCAAATACCATCATATTGGGCCTTATGGATTCAACATACAGATTTGGGAAGGCAGAGGATAAAAACATTCATTCCATAACACAATCTGGCACATTACATAGCTCCTCTTTTCTTCATGTGGAATTACTTTTAAACATTTAACTCAGTTGCCCTAGTTATTCTGTTAATTTATTAAATGCCTTGACTGTGAAAGCTAATTTATCTTTCCAAACAGGGATTTCCGATAGCCTGGAAAGAAACATAACCATAATTTATTTTTTTCTATTTACAAATAATGGCTTTCTTGGAGCTATTAATCTCTTGATATCCTATTCATAAGACAGAATTAGCAATTTGGTTCTGTTGACTGAATTCCAATCAAATTAGCATACACATTTTAAAGGTCACAAGTAAGCAGTTGGACTGCCACCTGTTTGGATTTTGATAGCACTTTCTATGGTTCCAGGGAGCCTGTTGTCTGGGCATGGCTTCCATCTCAGATAGTAAGTGCATCATCAGACCCATGAGAAGACAAAGAGGGTAAGTCTCTCTGACAGGTCAAGATGGAAGGTTCTGATGAAGGTGTCATATTACTGTTTAAATCGTGTATATTTGTTAAAAGAAGTAAAGCTGGTGACTCTTTCAGGATATCCTGTTACCAAATTCAAAATTAGAAAAAAAAATTAAGCATAATATATTCAGATTTTTTGAAAGCAACCTATCATAGCAATGGCTCTTATTTTCTTCACTAATACATTGCCTTGCTGAACAAAGATAATTTTTTTGATGTGTCTTTTGTTGAGTATCTTATTATATTTTAATAAGTGAAGAAAAAGTTGATTTTCAGAAATTGGTACTTTTGAAAATACTGCTATTGAAACTGCTACAATTTTATATCTTTGAAACCACAAGCACATATAAATTGTTAAAAGTTCTAAAGGTTATTTAAGACAAAAATAGATAAATGTGAATTAGGAATAACTGTAATAATTTTTTTAAAGGTTTTATTTATTTATTTTTGTGAGAGAGAGAGAGCACACGCACACACCAATCAGGCCTGAGCAGGGTAGAGGGAGAAGCAGACTCCCTGCTGAGCCTTGAACCCGATGTGGGACCCGATCCCAGGACCCTGGGATCATGACCTAAGCTGAAGGCAGATGCTTAACCGACTGAGCCACTCAGGCACCCATCTGTAACAATTTTTGAACACAATATGTGTGAGGCACTATCTACCTTTACTGCGTTGCTGCATACATTTAAAGCAGCACTGGTAACTGGATGAAGCTGCAATGCTGGCTAAACAGTGACTCTGGCTTCACACACTCTCTTACATTATTTACCTGTTCTAGGCAACATTGCTTTCCAATATATTACACCAATGTACCCAGGTCATAAACCAACCAAGCATGCATTAAACAGAAATTTTAAAAAAGGAATTGGTTTCATTCTTCAGCTTGTGTGACTAAAAGATTGGCATTGGAAATCCTGTGTTAATTCAACCTCAGGGAAAGGAAAAAGTCAAACATTAACCAAAATGAAAGATTTTTGCTAGAAGTTCCAAGTTTGGTATCAGGACCAACACAACAGCAGTGCTTGTTTGTTTTGCTTTCTCTTGTGTCTTTCATACTGTTTAAGTGTTAGGCATTAAAAATCCAAGCAATCATGTGTTCCTCTGGACCTCAAGTGACGTGATTTTCTCTAACCAATAGTTAAGAATTGAGCAGAGAAAACTGAATCCTAATATTTTTATTCCTCAAACATTCCTCAAGCATATCAAACACTGACAAATTATCAGGCACAGCTACTACAGTATAATTTAGACTTAAAGTATAATTAAGTAGCTTGTGATGGCAGAATCAGTAGTACTCCTATGACTTCAGCTATCTCATTAGATCATTTTCTAACAATGGCTAGGTTATTGAGTTTGCAATGTGCAAAACCCTGTAGTAAGGTCTTTCTGTAGATTACCACATTTCAACTCCACAATAACCCTATTATCCACATACAACTCTTCAGTTTAAAGGTAAGTAAGCTAAGGATAGGAGAGAGAGAGTAAGTGATCCCAAAGTCACAATTCTCACGGTGGAGCCAGGACTTGAAAGCAGGCCATCTGATTCCAGAGTCTGTGCTCTTGACCCCTAACCTATACTACCCACATTATTATTTTGGGTAGACTGATAATGTCCACACTTTCACCATAACTACACTATACAAAGACTGGAATGGAAAGAATAAGATCATCAGAACTTTACAGGAAGTAAAAAGATTCAGAGTAAGACCATAGTTACTCAAATCCAAAGGTCAAAATATTATACTCAACAGCCAGTTCTAGAAGTTAATGAGTTCTTCTTTAGGTCTGACTATCTGAAGAAATGCCCAAGTTCTGTGTTTATACCCCTGATAGCTGTTGAGTCTTCCATGTGCTTCAAAATTTTAGAAGTTCTAGGCAGCTTTGTATAATGTGAAAAGAGCTCACCAGGGAGACAGAAGACAAGGTTTTAAGGCTGGTTTTGTTCTTTACCAACTTCATACCTCTAACTTCCATGTTTCTCATTCACTAAATGAAGTGAACTCCTACGCTGATTTTTCTCATTTAGTTATTGAGAGAACATGTATTAAATTACTCTGAGAATATAGCTCTTTATGTAACTATTATTATCACTATTAGAATATTATGCTAAAGATTGATAGAGAAGTTGCAATCTATCATTTTTTTTCATTAACTCACTAGAACCAAAGTACATTTTACTGAAGTTAATATACTGCTAAATAAAGCTCTATGTATGCTATTATATAATTAATAAAGCAGTAAAGAAGCAGAATATAGAAAGTCTAAATAGTTACCACAAACTGAGTAAAGGTAGGTAAGTAAAGATAATGCATCAATTTAATTTCACAAAGCTCTGGAAAAAAATTAGTTTGTTTAAAGAGAAAAACACAGAAACATAAAGGAAATATGAATATAATTTCTTCAGTGGGAAAAGTTTCAGTAGTTAAATGATAAGAAATTCTGCTGGAGGTAAACTTGAACTCTCTTCTCACACTTGCCAACCTCCTGTAATTTGTTATCACCGGATGGTCCCATTCCCTGAACACAATACTGTAATTTGCTCCAGTGATTCTATTCTACCTGGAATATTCTGTCTCCCCCTTGACCTGTTTGTTAAATAGTATTTAACCTTCAACTACCATCTTTGCTTTATGCATTCTCTGATTCTACAAATTCACATTAATCATGTCTACTTTGCCATTCTCATATTTTCTTTTTCCTTTTTTTTTTTTGTGCCACGAAAAACTCCAAATTTTGGAGTATTTATGACAGTATAGTAGTATTGTAATATTCTCCAAATTTTTGGAGTTTATCATGGCACACAACATATTATTTGGGGAAACATTTAGGTTCCCTAGAATCCCAGTCCTTAGGAAGAGTTATTATGCCTTTTTCATCTGCCTATCTTCCAGGCCTAGCCTATTATACTATATATTGTGAATAGTCAACAAAGGTTTGTTTAAAAAGAGAGAGAGATCTACAGTTAAAGTCTGACATGCTTATACCTAACTACAATACCACAAAATTAAATTCAAAAGACGACTTTGGAATGATGTGACTTTATTTTTAACATTAGTAGCTTTCTGTAGAGTGCAAATTCACCGTAGACCCCTGCACCATGAAAGTGGACCATGACAGTGGACTGTTCAACCTATAAAGGTTGAACAGTACTGGTCAGACCAAATACTCTTCTATCCTATTTATCTTGATGAGGTTCAACAGATGCATTTCTACACAGAGATGTTTACTCTCAATTTTCTATAGCAAGGAAGGAGATCTAGATCACTCCCAAACTTTAGCTAAGCCAAAGTTTTATATTTTTCTACATATATTCAAATATTCTAGTATTCAGGAAATACAATATAGCAAAACTTTATCCAGCATAACTGGAAGAATGCAGGACATTTGAATTGTTGAAAATTCAAACTTTAAAAATATTTTTCAAATATTTCTAGAAGTTAGAGGTAATATTTTGTATTCATAAATATGCATAACCTAAACTTAGTATTAAATTTTTTTAATTCATTTATTCATTCATTTATTCATTATTCCATTCAATAAGCACTGACTGGACAAGTCAATGATCAATTAAATACTTAAAAATGAAATTAAATACTTAGAAAATACATATGATACTTTGATCTAGGATATTACTATAGGTTGTTATGGAGCTGCATAAGGAATAGATAAGAATAACTGAGAATTACCGACACAATTGTCGAAATGCATCTATAATGCTAGTGGATGCTTAAAAAGGATTTTTCCTTTCATGAGAGATCCTTCAAAAATTATTAGTTCCGACTGTCTAATGATCACATTCTAATGTCACCGGTGCTTAATGAAGTTATTTTACTTCATACATCGGAGAATATTACAATACTACTATACTGTCATAAATATGACTTATAATTTAAAGAAAGTAGGAACTGTGAATCCAGACTATGTAACAGAAAATAAATTGCATAAATGTAACTCAAGAGTTAACTTCTCCTAGAAACAGTTTTCTCCATCACATAGCAAGTACTTAAGTCACTTTTTCTCTTTATCAATCGATCAGCAAATATTTAAGATAATGGACCATGGGGCAGGCACGGTATTACACACTGGGGAGAGATACAAAGAAAGATGGATACAGTCCATTCCTTGCAATGAATAAACATAAAGTCTAGAAAGGAACACAGATAATAGGCACCGAACACTTTATTAAAAGTACATTTAGTGCCCAGTCTCACCAAAGGGAAGAGTGTGACGTCAGAAAATCGCATGCTTCTGTGGATAAGGAAAGAGTTCCCGCAGGAGTGACATTTAAGTCTTATCTGGGTTTAAGGGGAGCTTAACAAATTCTGTGTAATATAAAGTATCTAGTAAGGCGAGGGCAAGGAGAGTAAGGGGGGACATCTCTGAGGAGGCTGGAGAAGAAAACAGCCCTCTGGGCATTCGGGGCTATAAGGAGTCTGGATTCTAACCAAAGGGTGAAGAGAAGGTATTGAAAGGTTTTGTGCAGGAGCAGGGGACTGACGTGTATGTGCAGAACTCTGTGCGTGGGTCTGAGGGAGGCAGGCATTATGTGAAAGAAAGAATTCAGGTTTCTCCTCAATATGGAACCTAAACAAAGCATGTTATTGTACCAATTAAAAGGAGCATCCCCTATTAAGTTCAACTGTTAGTGAGAAATAAGATATTATGTTTCTTTATTTAAAAAAACATTCATTGCAACATCATACACACAGCAAAAGATCTGCAGATACAGTCCATTAGTGGCGTAACAATTATATCTTGGGCACATGGAATATAAAATTCTAGTCATCGTCCCACATTTGTTTGTTTAGCTGCTAAAGGATCTCTGAACAGAGTCAGGTCAACAGAGAGAGTGTCAAAACATCAACAGAGAGAGATCTTGTCAGAGCTTAATTAGGGCTTCCAATTAGAAAACCAAACGAAGGATCCTATTAGCTCTCGACTAGGAATTCTCCTTGATTTGGAAGAACCACACAATACCCACACTTCACCTAGCTAACAAAAAGGAATGTTTTACCTTTATGATGATCTCCTCCAGACTGGCTTAAATCAACAAAGACAAGCATATTCTCAGAATCATACAGTCTCAAAACCACACTGAAGAGAACCACTGTGTGCTCAGGCACACTGGCTGCCATGTCACTAAGTTACCAGCAGAGCTCATTTTTTAATACTAGAACAGTTTGGGCCATGCAATGGCCTTGTCTGCTGCCCTTTGGTAGAAATTATTAAATAAAGCTCATGGCCACTTTTAAGAGAAAAAAAAAATTGCAAGTCACAAAAAGGAAATTTTCTATCTAACAATGGGACTAACTCAATTTTTTTTTATGAAGTACCATACTTACTTGTGTGCTTCATCTGTATCATGAACGCTGCTTGCCTATCTCCCAGTTTTGAGGAAGAAATAGTTCTTTCCTTCTCTCCAAATTATTTCATGGTCAGAGTACTTTAAGAACTGTAAACGGTCTCACCAGTTAGTAAGGAAAAGATTACAATGTTGAAATAGTGTTTGCTGTTCTGTACAAACTTCAGAGACTTTACCAGTAGGTAAACAAAAGAAAATTTTCGAACTCAAAGTCACACACCCAGTAACATAATTCCAACTAGAAAACTTATAGACAGGATCAAAGTTTAAATTCGTCCCCCAGATCAAGCAGAACCTGGCTTATAATGCACAGGAGTTGTGCCTGGTTCTTTTCCCAGCCTGCTAGAATGGGTGGGAGAAATACTCTAAAGTTATGCTATGGACAATAAAAATATTTTCTATACATCTAATAATCAAAGGGCCTGGTAATAACATTTAAATTCCAACATCTTACCACAGAACCATGCAGCATGACTGGATTTTAGAAGTTGCTGGTGGGGGCCTACCCTCGAGTTACCTGGTCCTCAATGGATCCAACTCTGGCTGGGTTTCTTTGCCTCAAAAAGAGATTCTTCAACTGCTTGAAGACTTCTGCTTTATGATTTTTTAAATATGCATTGCATTTATTCCACTTGGCATTGAGTTTAACAAATGTAAATCCATTTCAGAAAGTATTCATTCCCAGAAGAAATATTTTAAGATTTAATTGACTTGCTGTGTTAAAACATACACACACACACACACACACACACACACACACACACACACACACACACCCCTCCCTAATCTCAAGCAGAGAAATAAATCGCATTCTTTTTGGATATTATTGGATGTTTTGAATGAGGGAGGGGCAGAGGGAGAGGGACAGAGAATCTCAAGCAGGCTCCATACCCAGCATGGAGCCTGAGGCAGGGCTCAGTCTCACAACCCTGAGATCATGACCTGAGCCCAAGTCAAGAGTCCTATGCTTAACTGACTGAACCACCAGGGCGCCCCTTGAATAAATCTCATTCTTTTTCTCTGAATGTCTAATACCTAGCACAGTGCTTGTCACTAGGTATATGCTCAATACATGGTTGATGAACTGAAGAGCTAATAAAGGAGTGGATGGATGTCTGAGTGAATGAATTAATGAGCAAGTTCCCACATGTAGAACACCTCCATTGGGCCCTTTTACCCTTGAAGACCAGGTGGGCATTTTTTTTTTCTGCATCTTAGGCTTCAGCTTGACTTCAAGAAAGACACAAGGTCCCTTCTGCTTCTGCTGCCTCACAGACTCTTCTTTCTCAGGGGAGAGGCAGGTATTCCAAGATTCAGGGAGGTAGCAATGGATCAGACAGTGGATAGTTTTGATGCTCAAATCTTTGTTCAGCCAGAAGAGATACTTTCTTTCTCCTGGGAACAGATCCATTTGGCCCCAGACTTCTAAGAGAAGGGATAATTACATGACTAATACAAGGAATTATTAAGCTTAAATGATTTCTTTGTTGTAAGTTCTCACTTTGGGAAGCACATAAATACTTCAGTGCACTAAATGCCTCATTATTACTTAAGGGAGTATTAGATAAATTTTTATTTTAACTTGAAATAGATTTCATT